TACAAAACCATCATTTTCTAGCTAATGGGAAAATTGTTAATTTAATTGACTATCTTATAATTAAGGTTTCAACAAAGTGCTGTCATTTACTAGTTGAAAAAGACTGTATGATAGGCGTGCTTTAATGTATAGCATATGTGATTTCTCATACTAACCTGAAAACACTTAAAAGGATATCATGATTAGCAAGTAGAAAGATAATAAGTCTTAAACCAAGGTGACAGAGGGACTATAAACTAAGACATTAGGTAGATTTGGTTAGTTATTATGACTCTACCCTGGTCTTTTTATGTGGTCAGGCCTCTGAAGATTTCCTGTTATTTAAATTTTAATGTTTTTAAAATGGCATGAAAATGATATAATTACTTCTCAATTACCCACTTTTAAGGCACATTCCACACAATTTCTCCCTTTTCCTCTGCAATAAAATGAGTAACTTTTGCTGTGCCTGTAAACCTAGCAACAACAAAGACAAACTCCTTTATTGCCCTGTTATACTGCCTGTTCTGGCTTCTAGGAAAGAGAATTACAAAAGACCAGGGGGAGGAGGGAATTTCCTCTTAAACTATTGCCTCCTGCTATTTTCACACCAAGATCTCAGTGGATAAAGGCAGCTCAAGAGCAAAGAAGGTGGCTTCTAGAGGCATATTGACCTCCCCACCCCTGCCTCTCCTCAGCAAAAACAAAACAAAACAAAACAAAAACCCCTTTTCTCCAACACTACTGAAACACTGGCATGGGGGAATGGTGATGGGCGGAATGGTATTGGGAGATGGTGACTGAACATAGAAATGGCAACAAAATAACTCAGGCTGTCACCTCTCCCAGTCACCTTGCTCACCCGGCTTCTTTCTCTGCTCTAGCCACACTGGCCTCTTTGCTGCTCCCGCAAACTTCCAGACATGCTCTCTTCTCGGGCCTTGGCGCTCTATGATGTTCACCCCCTACACTCCCAAATGCTTTGCTCTCCCCACCCCTCAGTCTGTGCATAATGAGGCCTTCCCTGACCACCAGTCTAAAACTATACTATCTCCAGCTCCTAGTCTTCCCTCTTGACTGCCCTCAAATACTTCTAAATATCTGACATCTTACAAATAGTGTTGCTTATTGTTTAAGTTCCCCCACCTCAGGAATGCCAGTTCCATGTTTGCTGTCTTTATTCAATGCTAGAACCCCACAGTGTTTAGAATGGTGTTTGGCACATAAAAAACGCTCAATAAATGTTTGTTGAATAAATTGTTCTGAGTTGCTACAGGCTTTATATGCCAGGAGAGGTTGGGAGGGAGAGATGGTTAGAGGTCATGTATCAAGGTCAGCCTCTCCCAGATATCAGAGGGAAGATCTACTAAACTGGTTAATTGTAAGCTTTGTTTATCAAGAAGGAAGGCTCTGCTTGCCTACCCAGCTACTGGATAAACTCTCAGGAAAGGAAGAAAGGGTTTCTGTGTATTAAAACAAACAAAAGAAACCTGGATCCACAAAACAATTATGTTCTCTCTTAGGAATAAAGAATGTAGTGTTTGAGATAATTTATGTTTGAGATCTTTGCCTTTGTAGTCACCATCTACAACGAAACAGGAATTCTTAAAGCAAATGTATTATACAGTTGTCCCCAAGAAGCATTTCCAGGACTACCCAAACTCCTGCCTCATGTATGGGTAAAGTATTAGTCACTCAGTTCTGTGATGCTCTCCTAGGTGCTGATTCAGAATCACTGGGCTACTTTGGATACAGTGATTAGAAAAGCAAGTCAGTCATCTAAGCCATAGACGTTGCAGGTCAAATGTCACTGATTAACCATCCTGTCATTGGTCAATTACCCAAACCCAAGAAAAGGGGCCACTGATCTAGTTGTCTATCAATAAACATCTATCTGGGCGCATCAGCTGCTGCTAACCACAGCCTGACAAGATATCCAGCATGGTCCACAGGCACTGGTGGTTAAGAAATCCCTCTTTTTCTCTTCTTAATAATGTCACAGAAGAGGCAAATGCAGTCCCTGACAACATAATGTTAGTTTCACAGAGACGTGTCTCTCTCAGCGCTCAGTCAGTTAGAGGGGCTTCAATTGCATGGATTTTCTTACTGCAAAAATAATAGCTGGGCTTAAGGAACTTGGAGGCCTCACACTGTGCTGAGATATACAATTCTGCCTTTGGTTGTACTCATGGTCATCATTCCCCCTCTGAGTTAGGAAAAGAAAAATTGTTTGGGAGAACCATTTTCATTCCACATTTAAAGATAACCAAATGGGAACTGGTATCTCTTGCTTTAAGCCCCAATGACACCTTTTTCTGGAGTCAGATTCAACACTTCTAATTCTTTGGGTAGAGAGCTAGAAGCCATGTGGTCTTGTCACATGAAGAGCCTGTTTGTCTCTGAGTTGTTACCTTGGTAACGACCTTATGAAGTCCCTGCTGGATCTAAAATTCTAGATCTCCTACTACAGCCACTTAATTTCTAATTTCCCCTTCTATCTTAACAAGACCACCTCACCTGCACATTCAGTCTGTCAAGGGAGTGTTATTCTGAGTAACTACAGGTTTTATGTATCAAGTGAGGCTGGGAGGAGGTAGGAAGTAAACAATTATAATACAGATGTGTTAAATGTTTCAATAGGAATTACATACAGAATGTACAGGGATGTGTGATTCAGCTCAGAAGATGATGGGAGATTAAGGAAACATTCCCAAAAGAGTGGAGTCTTGAAGGGGGAATAAGAGTTCGGTAAAATGAGGATGATGAGAAGGAAGTAAGAAACACAAGAAATGAAACAACTTGTTCAAAGAGCTGAAGGCTGAGGGTTAGAGAGCAGTGGCATATGCAAAACTGCAAGTAATTGGACAGACTGAGCTGTAGAACATGTCGGGATAGAGCAGCAGAAGACAAGATTGTACAGACTGAATCAAGTTCATTGTTCTTAAACGTGTTTATCTCAACTTTTTCCTGAAGGCAAATAGTAGCCATGAGTCCTCTTGGGAAGGGAATGACCCCCTCAGCTTTGTGGTTAGCAGTGTGGGAGATGGCTGAAAGAGAGGAAGGAAGGGCAGACGGTCATCTGGAAGGCCAGGGAGAGAAGAGTGTCTGTGATGGGGAGAGCAACGGAGATTGAGAAAGGGGGAGGACTTGTGACATACGTAGGAGCAGGTATTGACAGAACTTTACAGGTGACTTGTGGAGGTGGGGGTGGGTAGAGGGAGGGGCAGGAAGAATTTAGGGAGATTCCCATGTCTGGGGCTCAGTGGATGGATAGATGGTTGGTACGTTTGAATGAGATGAGGGAAATCATGTGAGGTGACTTAGCAGGGGAAGGGGTGGATAATGGAATACCATTTCTGAAACATTGGTTTGAGATGCATGTTGAACAATGTTAGGTGGTGGTGGTAGGTGTATGGCAGGGATACCGGTAAGTAGATAGGATACAGGGAACATTAAAAGAGAGTGGGCAGAACTACTAAACTGTCAGTTTGCTTCCATCTTCATTGGCAAGAAGACTGGTATTCAAATTAGAAATGGCAGAACAAACATAATAAAGAGAAAATTGAAGCCCCAAATAGGTGAAGTGAAAGAGAGTATCTTGTCAATTTAAATGATTTCAAGTCTCCTGGCTCAGATGAGTTATACCCCAAGCCTGCTGAAAGAAATTGCAGATGTAATCTCAGAGACACGATTGGTAATCTTAAAGAAATTGTGGCGACTATAAGGAGTATCAGAAGACAAGAGAAGGACAACTGTTTTCCATATTTTAAAGTGAAGAGGGAAAAAAGGTTAAAGTGCAGTGGGAAATATTCTGATAGCTTTCACACCACCTATAACAAAAACTCTAGCGTGCTTTATTAAATAGATGGCTGATGATTAGCTTCGTTAATGCATGTGGTGGAGAAAAAGGGAGGAAGGAAGGGGTTGTTTGCACTTTGACAGAAATTTATTTGTACTGATAGCATGTCCCACTGAATGTGGCTTGTCTCATCCCCCTCCCTAAAGCACTGTAAGTTGTCCAGCCTGCCAGCGTGAACTCAAGGCTTCTTTATCTGTGATATGCTGCCTGTGGTACTCAGCCTATAAGTAGCCCTTTAGGAAAAGGGCTCAATAATTTAAATGAAGAAACCCACAGTGTGAATTGCCCAAGAAGTCCAGCATCAGTTGTCAGGGTGCCCTGGGGACCAGCAAGTGGCATTATCCTCTGTGGTTAGTAGCCTAAATGATAATAGGCCTTTGACTACTAGAGTTCTACTACCGTATATTTTGTGCTATTTCTCTTTTTATACATTCTGACTTTAAAATGAGAACAGAGAGCATGATATGGGGAAGGCAGCCAGGTCCCACTAATAACTCTACCCTTATCAAACTAAGAGATACAATGTAAAAAAGTCAATATTTAAAAGATAAAACCCACATATATTTATAAACATTACTCTTTCAGAGAATTTCTTAGACAAAAACAAAAACAAAAACAAAACAACAAAGAAAGGAGCAGCCTATTGGAGATCCAGATGGCTCCATGAATGAAAAGTATATCCTCTGGGAGATGTCATCAGCCTCACATTTTAAAATTCTATGATCCTGTAAATCAAGCAATATTGAGTTCAAAGTTCCCTTCTTAAAACGAAATGAAAACAACCACAAAAACCCAGATACAAAGATTGTCATGGAGATCTTTTAGACCCAAGTCTCAAATTCAGATTCATTTCATTCATATATATCACATATAAACTCTTTTGAGATTATCCAATATAAACTGAGACTTGGGAAGGAGCTAAGTCACACCCAGGAAGAGGCCTCTATCTAATCCTTCCAGAAGTCTAATTTTGATACATCTCACCACCAGAAAATCCAAGCAAGTACCCTGTATTTCCTTATCATCCCCATTCTAAATCCTTTAATATTTAGAACAAAGAACAAAAGAATGTCTTCACTGATACTTGGTGTCATCACTGCCTAAACATAATTTGCATGTATCTTCCATTTTAAAAATAATGAATGAGTAGGTATCTTCTTACCGTATTGACCCAATCATGTATGGCTGTGCCAGTTGAACCACAATTGCTCCACTTCCCAGTTGATGACATGTGTAGCCAGAATCCCAATCATAATTCTTGGTGTCCCCATTCAGCAAGGCATTTCGGCTCCGGCTGACTCCTTCAATCACGCTGGCACAATCAGCAATTGTTGCAACATTCTCCATGGGAACTGTGAACCCAACACAAGATTCAGCATCAAGATAAGAGAAGCCAATATATACTGAGAGTGTGCTATGAACAACATTAATTAATTACTATTTCAAATCAACAATAAAAGAGGAATGAGAACATCATGATTATCTCAAGACATGAACACATTTTCCATGCCAAAGAGCTTTATAAAAAAAAGCTGAACCTAAGATGAAACAAACCAAACACATGTAGCAATTACTTCGGAAGTATTTTATTATAAAGAGACATGACATGGCATAAAATATAGAATGGATAAGTACATTGCAAAATATTACTACAGTGAGAAAGCACATGGCAACTAAGATTAATGCACTAAAGCTGTATAAAAATTAACAAAAAATGTGGAGTGAAAAAAGCAAGGCACAGAAAAACACAAGAATATGAGTTTGTTTATACAATATTTTATAAAAGGCAAAAGAAAACAAACCTTGTTTAGGTAAATATATATAAATTAAACTAAAAAGGAAATCCAGGGAATTATTTAAAATTCAGGATAATTTGTCTGGGAAGCAGGGAGAAGAGATCTTGAAGGGACCCTCACTATTAGCAGGTCCAAATTGTTACTGATTTCCTTTCCACAGTATAATCTTAAAGAAGTTTCAAAAATACTGGTTTTATTCTTCTGTTCCCAAATTAGGTGAGGGGTACACAGGAACATGTTTTATCAGTATTCACTAAACTATGTACTAATTACATTTAATAAATGTAATGCATTGTTTAAAGAAACATGGTGTATATAGCTCCAGTATTATAAAATTTGTAATGCAAGTGCGTGCCCCAAGACATGGTATCAGTCTCTCTGGTATACAGTTGCCCTCAGCCATGATTGTTTCCTTTTTTTGTTTACTGTCTTATGTATTTCAACATATCTGCTCCTTTCCTTGTACATGAACTGCTGCATTTTGAAACATCAGCTCTGTTTCGACTCTGAATCTCTCCCTATACTTCCAGTACATACCATCCTGTTCATTTATAAAAGTCAAAGGCTTCCACAAAATGAGACCTGCCTAAAAATGATATAGAATGGATAAATACATTGCACTGAGAAGAGGGTGATAAAAGGTCAGGGCCTTTTAAGTCACCTGGGACCTTTCCTGTGGAGTTTTCTTTAGACATTAAAGTTACTTAACCCAAATCTACAGTAAGAAAACACATAGCAACTAAGATTAATGCATTAAAGCTGTATAAAAATTAACAAAAAATGTTGAGTGAGAGAAGCAAGGCACAGAATAACACAAGAATATGAGTTCATTTATACAATATTTTATAAAAGGCAAAACAAAACAAACCTTGTTTAGGTAAACATATATAACTCTGTAATCTATAACCCTAGTTACTTATATTCCAGATTTGTAGCTTATTTTATAGAATTTAAAACATATTGGAAGAAAGACAATTTCTCATCATATATATACAGTACTTTTTTAGTACATTAAGCTCTCTGAAAAGAGAGTAGGTGAGCAGTCCTGCCAATATGCCAAAACATTTCTAACTTTTAATGATGTGGAGCAAATAATCTCATGAGTGTCTTTTGAGAAATGTACTTATCTTCCAAAGTTGGGTATATCTGTACTTGAGCTATGGGCTTATACACCTTCATTAATTGCTCTGTTCTCAATAAGTGAATAAAGGCATCCACAGATAAAGAAGAGAGGAAGGGAGGGAAGAAGGGAGAGAAGATGGTTTTTCTGGTGATGAATTCCTTGACTACAAAGCTTAACTCCGAAACTATAAATAAAAATACAGGTGAAGTAACCTGCAAGAACAGTTTGCTGGCAGAGAAGGGGTTTAGAGAGAAGCTCCCAAAGCTCCATGACTTTGGAAAGACACAGGTGAAAGACTGTGTTTATAGGCTAAATCATGGTACCTCTATTTCATGAAAAAGGGAAGTATTCTGTGATTTGGAAGAAAGAACTTAAGGAAGTGACACAAAATGCACAGTAAATTGAGCCAAGACATAAAATAATACTGTAAGTAATGTATACTGCAGTAACAGACAGTTTCCATTCCCCTAGTTTATTTTTGCTCACCCTATATATTCAATGATAAGCAAAGTAGCTCTGTCACTGTATCACTCAGAGACCAGAATGACAGGCTTAAAATTGATACATGCTTCCTCAATCACGGCAGCAGTGAGAAGAGAGTGAGCTGGGCACTGGCTCTTAAAACTCATCCCCAGAAGTAACAGCATCACTTTGTTCCCGTTTTAACCAAGCAAGTCACAGGGTCTTAACATAATTTCAAAAGAGGTAGGCTGGAAATGGTCTTGTGTGGGCACAGAAGAAAGGAAACATTTGGTGAATAATATTAACATCTACCACAAGCATTAAACCAGGATAGAGGAATATTCAATTAACAGCTAAATCGAGTTTATTCACAAAAAGTTTATACAATATGTCAGGATATAAATATACCAAAAATTATATATTTAAATTGGTACCACTGTTTTCTCTGGGATTATGAAGGTGTTCTTGGGAACATGGGTAAGAGTTTCTTCAAGGAATACATAATACCTAATACCCACACACACACATATATATACACATATACATACATAGATATAGATATATATATATATATATACACATATATACACACACAGACACAGAAGTAGAATCACACTCACAGTTATGAGTTCCCTTCAACTTTCCTGGTGACTGCCAAATTAGCCAGCAGAGTGGTCGTAAAAATGTACACTTTTTTTTTTCTGTGTCTCTAACTTTATTTTTTTTTATAATAAATTTTATTTTTATATTCCCCATACAATTTCAACCCCCCCATTTTGACCCCAATCCCTCCCCTCCCTCCACCCACCCCCCCAAAAGTGTCTCTGGTTCATAGATTTTTGTTGATTTTGATTTTCACTTTCTTATAGTTATTCATTTTCCTGGTCCCTTATTTAAGTTTTCTAGATTCCTGCTATGAGTGAGACCATCCGGTATTTTTCTTTTTCTTTCTGGCTTATTTCGCTGAGCATGATCCCTTCCAGCGCCATCCATGTTGCTGCAAATTGCATGTGTTTATCTTTTTTGAATGCTGAGTAATATTCCATGGTATATATGTACCACATCTTCTTGATCCAGTCATCTATTTTTGGGCATTTGGGCTGTTTCCAAAGCTTAGCTATTGTAAATAGTGCTGCTATAAACATAGGGGTGCAGGTGTTCTTTGGAATTGATGTTTCTGTGTCCTTTGGGTAAATACCTAGGAGTGGAATTGCTGGATCATATGGAAGCTCTATGTTTAGTAGGTCCAGAAATCTCCACACAGCTCTCCATAGTGTACACTTTAACCCATTGATCCACATCCTTACCAACTCTTGGTAATACTAGACACATAAATGTAAAATGTTATTTTACTTTCTTATTATTTTATTAGGTGAAGATGAACATTTTTTTCCCCCTTTTCCCCCTCTGGAATCATTTTCCACTTTTCTTCCATAAACTGCCTATCTTTATCTTTTTGTCTATTTTTCTATAGGATTTGCTGGATGCTAATCCTTTGCTGGGTAACACATTGAGTTGAAATATTTAATCTTTTCCTTTATGATTTGTGGTTTTCCTTTCTTGTTTATATATTCTTTCCTGTCCTGAATTCATAAAAATATTTCCTATATTTACTTCTAAAAGGTCTCAAAGTTTGCTTTTCATGTTTGGTTCTTTCATCAATTTGAATTTTATATTTGCTATGTTGTGAAATAGGGGCCTATTTTCATCTTTTATTCATAAGGACAGTCAATTTCCCTAGCACCATTTAATGAACAGTTATACTTTCCCCCCACTAATTTATTAGTTTAGTCATCTATATAAAGTTTTCATATATATTTGCATTTCTTTTAAAGTTCTGCACTGTTTCACTAATTTACTTAGCCTTGTATGTTCACCATGCTGTTTTAATTACTAAAATTTTATAGTAATATTAAAATCTGATTGAGTAAACACTTCCTACCTCTCCCCTTTTTCTCTTCAAAATTATCTTCAATATTCTTTTTAATATTTATTCACATATATATTCATATCATTGTTCATTTTTGTGCAACATATATGCTTTCTCCTCTCAGGTGTACTCCCTATAAAAAATTCCCACCACCAATTCACCTGTGAACTGTCACCACAGTCCCCTGTGCTCTTCCCTCCTCTGTTTTTATCCCTCTGCCTCCCCCCTCCTTTGCAGAATATATCTGATTTATAGTTGCCTGCTAATTTTGTTTTTTATTTTATTACTGTTATCCTGATCCCTTAATATTTTTGGTCCTTTAAGGAAAATTTTTCATTTTTATGTTTTTTAAGTATATTGTCACCAAAAATTTCATAGTACGTCCTCTTTCTCATACCAAATATTTTTATTTATACTTTTTCTTTGTTTTTTTTTCCCAGTCTGTTACAGGTTTATCTACTTTATTAGTGTTTTTAAAGAACCAACTTTTTTTTTTTTTTTGATTCTTTATTTCCTACTTCACTAAATTCTGCTTTTCTTTTTATTTCATTCTACTTCTTTGGGGTTTACCCTATATATTTTCAACTACTTGAAGTATATACATAACACATTAACCTTTCTTCTTTTCTAATAAATGTGTTTAAAGGGAACATTTTACCTCTAAGCTCTGCTTTACCTTTATCTTTAAGTTTTGATACATAATATTTTGAAGCATTGTGTAGAATGTCCCTCAATTTGGGTTTGTCTGACACATATTATTTAAAAAGTTGGTTGTTTACAAATATCTTGTTTCCATTATACTCTCTCTTGAATTCATAAATTGTTCAGAAATATGTCTTAACTTTCCAAATAATACTTCTCAATTTTTTTGGTTACAGTTTTTTTGTTACATTGAAATATGGATTATAAAAGGTGTTAGCTATATGATACTGACTTTGATGAGATTTATTTGTGGTCTAGTATATGGTTCTTATATTTATAATGTCTTATTAATATTTTACATTTGTGCCTCTTGGGAGATATGTAATTCTCTCTATACTA